GTCATCATCGCTAGCCATCACCATGAGCAATCGCCGCACTGCCATGCCCGCTCCGAAGTGAGTAGGCTGCCACACATGGAACACGAGCATGATGGAGGAGCCACGAGGAACCGGCGTTGCGACACTCCCGGACCATCTCATGCACCACACCATCCGCCACCATGGACATCCAGCAAGGACCATAGGAGAGGATGGCGAGCCAAGACGCCCTGCTACCGCCGCCGGCCGATGGCGGCAAGGGGAAGGAGTCGAGCAAGCAGTTCTATGGGCGGGATGGGTAGATGCGACGCCCAAGTCGCCCTGCTGGGCAACGGCGCAGGCAGTGGCGGTGGCCAGGGGTTAGTTGTGTAGTCAACGGACTACACAACATTTTGGCATGTACTAGTAGACATCAAACAAACTCGGTACAAATTTCATACAAGCATATGTATTTGACATCACAACTTTAAATTGACATCACAACTTTGAACTCCTGGCTTTGCCACTGGGTGCAGGGTCTGCTTTGATCTTTAACTCTTTTATTAAATAGAAAACACGAGTGCTTCCTTTTGAAGTCATTGTTTGAACATGACGGTTCTGTTAGTTTGAGCTACTACCACTTGAAATGGAACCAAGGTGATACATAGGACTTTTCCCGTGCAACATGTTCCAATGAGCAACGCTTTAAACCCGATAGCCAAGCAGGCCTAGGTAACTAGTTCGGTCTGGTTTTTATGGAACATGTGTGGTAGCATAATTTCTGGATAAGTCCATCACTCTCTTCGATATAGGCATAGTGTCAGTCATATGACTCTTTTGTTGCCGATATTTCAATTTCTCTTTATCTATTTATCGGACCGTTGGTGTTGAGTGTGACCATGTTAGCTATCCAGAGGTCGAGTGTTGTGCATTATACTTTGTAGCTACTTGATGCTACATTTTAAGTTAAGAAAAGTGCCCTTTATCCACACAAAAAGGCACAGGGGCACCCACATGTACGCATGGCACTAGCGCCAGCTCTCTCCGGGCCACCCACCTGGGACACCTCCATGGCCATGAGCAGCACCATCTGCGTCTCCTTCGGTCGTTCATCGATGAAAGGACAGGGGTCTGACCCCACCGACACATATTTCTTCCACACGGGCGCCCGCAAGTGCACCAAGGCCGGTGAGTCGACGTTGCCCTTCCTGTCCCATGTCTTGCATGTCCCTGAGCTGGATGATGACCTCATGTTCGTCATTGAGGTCTTGTCTCACCACCATTTCTGCGCCATAGACATATCCGGTGTCAGGACGGACAAAGCAACTCCTATGTTAATGGTATATGCGTGGCAAGACATCGGCCCGGTGTCAGGTTGGTACCCATCACATGACAGTCTCGTGTACGCCGGGGAAGGTTCTGCATCTACGGAAGGTTTCACATAATGGACGAGGTCGGATCGGAATGGGACATCAGCGTCTCGGTGGTCTTACTCGCCGGCCTCGAGGTGGTGCGAGAAGGATCCAGGACCCGGATGGTCAAACACAAGTCCAGACGCCTCGACTCCTGCATCAACTCTATTCTTTAGTGTATCTAGTAATTTTTTTATTAGAAAATCTTTGCTACTCAGGCTTAGAAATTACAACAATTGCTTTGTATCACCCACTCGGAGTAGGTCAGATGGCCGGGGAATCAGCAGAGTTTTGTTTGTTTCAGTTAAAGACATAGACGCGAGATGCAATGTCCTGATTCTGAACCAGCCAATCGAAACCCTTGACGGTGTAGGTGCTACAGCCCACTATCTCAAGATTCAGAACCTGAATCCAGAACTCACTCTGTTACCATCATAAGTTGAAGACACGCACGCCTAAATATGATGGAACTGCTACTGTCGGAAAATTAGGCAAGTTTCATGATTAATTCTAGTAAATAATTCATGACTAATTCCAGTTCACACCGAGAGTATACAACTAGCTTTTCTCATAAAACACACTCACAAGTATTGCAACCACGTATGCAAAGTCCAGTTCACACCGAGAGTACACCACTAGCTATGGTAAAATTCGCACATACTAAGTTATACAACATCTAACGACCCTCTAGTGTTGTGATGCTCATTGCGTTTATGGTATTTTGTATGTTCTCCCTTGCTTCTCCACCTTCACAATTACTTAGAGGAAAATATACAGGTTTCTTTGGAGTTGGAAGTGATGTGTTTTCATTCTCTAACATACGCATAACAGATGAAATCAGTGGCCTATTGTTGGGATGATCTTGAACACACAAGAGCCCCACATGAATACACCGTACAACTTCATGAAAAGGACAATCCACAACAATTGAAGAGTCCACTAATTCAGTTGCTTCTCCATCTTCCCATATTCTCCATGCCTGACGAATAAAACAAGTCAAGATAAATTTAATAAATGCCTTGGGTGGTAGGGGCGATGGGAGGTAGTCGGTAATTACATAGGTTATGCAGTGCTTACATAAGTTATAAGGCTACAAAAGTTTGTTTTGAGCTGAGGTGAGCTGATCTTCAATCCACTAACAATCTCCAACAAAAGAACACCGAAGCTATATGTGTCCGTTTTAACAGAAAAGGCACCTCCCATCGCATATTCAGGCGACATGTAACCACTTTTTAAAACAATCAACAAATGAGCAAGGAATGTACAAAAATGCATCAAACCATGAAAAGTATAGTGTTAAGGGTTCTCTAGTTCACCAATTACTTACTATGTTCCAACGACCCTTGTAGTGTTTGCATGATTCTGGTTTGCACCAAAGATTCTTGCCATACCAAAATCTGAAATTTTGGGAGTCATTTCCGCATCCAGCAATATGTTACTAGCTTTGAGATCTCTGTGAATTATTGTTAATCTTGAATCTTGATGGAGATAAAGAAGGCCTCTTGCTATTCCTTTAATTATTTTGAACCGGGTCGACCAATGGAGCATGTGTTTTCGTGCATCATCTTTCATGATCAAATATGAAACAAAGCTTGTCATCATGAATATCACTTTGGTCAATGCAAATATTTAGCGATGTATGATCAACAAACTAGAACGTACCAAAAATAAAGGCATCCAAACTTTTGTTAGGCAAGTACTCATAGATCAATAATTTCTCATCTTCCTGAATGCAACACCCAAGAAGTCTGACTAGGTTCTTGTGCTGCAACTTGGCAATTAGAACTATTTCATTTTTGAACTCAACTATACCTTGTCCAGAACCCTTACTAAGTCTTTTGACCGCAACCTCATATCCACCTTCTAGGATGCCCTGCATGAAAAAATATTTGTTAGTTATGTAAAACTTGGAAACACTTTTTTTTACTCCTATAGTCACCCCTACACACGAAGAAGTGTGCTTTAACCAATTTCCCGTGTACCCCAAAATATGATAACTAGTACAAATTCAACTCGTCTTAAATCTTGCCGATTTGCACAATATCACATCAATATGGACATGTTCCACTCATTCGACATCCACTTCGAGATGTAATAACTACTTGGTCAACAAAGCTTATGGTTGGATAAAAAAATTGAGAGTCAAGTGTCTATTCTGGAATTGAACAGTAGTTGAAGAGTAAATAAGATTGGCTTGTTTTTGTACTCCAGAGCATGTTCTACTGTAAGTACCACTTCTTATTACCTTGTAAACTTTTCCAAAACCTCCCTGTCCAAGCAAGTTGGAATCGGCGAAAAGCATTGTTGCTGAAAGGATGTCTTCATAGCTAACAAATGGAAATTCTGTATTTTCGCCTTTGAGTTCATCGGATGTGCTAAAGTATCTTTGCATTAGTTTCTTCTGGTTTTCCTGCTCTCTCCATTTTCCTGCAGGTTAAGACATTCATTTTTCCCACAACACTTGCACTGATGTCATATGTGAAAAAACAGAGCACATTTGTTACTCCACCTCTGTATTTGTATGTCCAAATGAGGGCTATGCATGTCAGTAGCAACATGAATGCTATAACCGGGAGTAAAATCTTTAGTAAACTGCTCTTTTTGTCGCCTACAGAAATGCATGAATCGGAAGTTTAGGATCCACACTTGCATATGAATACCATGTCAGATATGTCAAGCTAATTAAGTACCTATACTATGGTAATTGCCGAGTACCTGAACTACTGTGGTAAACGAACGACTTGATATTCTAGAAAAAGTATTTGATCTTGCAATATGCCCGCACTCCAAATTAAATAGTTCATTGGCTACTGTCAATGCAAGAAGAAAAATGCATATATTGTCTTATGGCTTTTGCAAGACATGAACTCTGAAAATAATTTCCAACGTGCTTGAAAGTGAAGAGTAGGAGCTGTATAACTTACCTTAGTAATCAGAAAACATATCTTATGTATTTATAGAATGATGTTAAAAGGAATGTTATGTTCTATATTCGATCAAAAGGATCTTCCAAGTTACCCCCTTTCTCTTCTCGAAAACATAATGTTTTGGATATGGAAAACTTTAACAGGTCACGCGTGATTGTTGCCCGATTCAGTTCAGATTTCTCCTTTGTTTTGTTTGGTTTGTTTCGTAATCCCCTTCAATCTACCTTATCTCGAGATTACCTGCGAACTTAACCTACTATATATTGTTCCATTGCCTCCTCTTTCTCCATAGCTAACGAAACCAATCTAGAAAATATTTTCTTGAGCTTGAGTGCGGGCAAGTCATGGTATAGTCATGGGCTGAGAGGCAAAAACATTAGCACACATTGTGAGGGGCTGCAACAGTGCAGGGTATAGTCCACGCATCCTTGCTTCTGTGTGTCGTTGTGTCGGCCCAATGTGAGGGGCTGCAACAGTGCAAGGTGCCCTGCCGCGGAGCTCCTTCCGCGGGGGAGCAGGGTGCGGCGGCCTCCTTATTCAGAAGTAGAGGCGTGTGAGGGCAAAATTAACAAATTTGACCTCAAAGCTTAAGTATTTCATAAACTAAATTGTTTTTGAAACAATTTCACACCGCTGACTCTTTTGTGCAGCGCCCGACAGTAAGGCGCTGCACTCTAGTGTGCAGCTCCTTACAGCTAGGCGCTGCACAGTGTAGTGCAGAGCCTAGCTGTTAGACGCTGCACAGGTGTGATGCCTAAGTGTTAGGCGCTACATAGTAGAGATGCAACGCCTTGCTATCAGGTGCTGCACACTGGGGGTCATCTGTGTGAAATATTTTCAAACACAGTTTAATTTGTGATTTGTGAAATAGTTTCGCTTCAATGTAAAATTTGTGCCTTTTGCCGCGTGTGAGCGGGGGAAGGTCCACGGACAACAAGCATGTGCACAAATGAGGGAGCAGCACAGAGTGGCAGCGCCAGGGAGAGGCGGCGTCGTCCATTGCTGGGTCGCTCCTGTCGTGGACGGGAGCACGACAAGCAGCACGGGGCGAGCAACATCACCAGGGAGTGGCGCTGAGCAGCAGCCTGTGCACGCAACTATTCAATGGAATGCGGCACAGAGAAAAGGTTGGAAAGAGATGAGTGTAAACGCTGACTGGTGTGGGCCCCCAGTGCAGCTTAAGTATCTTATGTAATGGTGCAATAATTTGGTGCCATGTCATCACTTACGGGTGGCCCCCCATTTTAGTTCTAGTGTCAAACAGTGCTAAGCGCGCGCTTAGTGTTATTTGCAACAATCTTACTATGAGCCAGTGTTTTTTTCTCCAAAAACAAAATTCGGTGTTTATTTGCAATATCCACCACAGTTGGGGTGGTTTTGCTCTAAATACTCCCCCACTTCACTTGGTTCACACAAATTTTTTTCCTTAATTTAGTCCTCCTACATCGTATGCCATATGTCCAGACGTCTAAACTATTTAAGAAAACCATGCTGTTAAATTGATTTACGATGTTTTTCCACAAAATGCAGCTTCATATCACAGCAAGCAAAATAACATAAGGATAAAATGGGACAGTGCATACCAGGAGACTCAGCAACGCGAAGGTATAGATTCTCGCCAACCTCAATGTACTTTGATGTATCGATAAGCTCTCCTATCCAAACCAAGCACCTTGTCGGGTCAGCCTCATCACCGGCACCTTTCATGTTGGCATAAGCATATGCCGTACATGAGCAGTTGTTGCCGCACTCGGCGGTGCACTCATCGAAGCTTCTGTTCTTTACATGTAAGAACTTGTCAGGGACCTTCATCCCAGGCAAGGATATGAAGTGACTTTGCTCGCCACAATTCAGTTCTTCTGTTCGCCGACAACCTCTTGAAAAGTTTAGACTGGTACTAGGCTCGAACCCATAGAAGCATTGACATCTCGGGACAGTACTAGTAAAGTCGCAATAGCTGAATGGGCCACATGCGGCGTAGAGCTCACAAGCAGCTCGGGGCCTCTCAAAAAGGACTGCCCACGATGATAAGTGGTTGTTTCAGCTTAGACACTTCAGCATGCCTGTGTATTCAAGCGTCAAACGTGTGAACGGTAAACCATCAGAGACAGTGAACAAAAGATATGATTCGTCTCCCTGGTTGATGACTGTTTCGGTCACGAAGGAGCTGGCGTTGCTTAGGTATGTGCCACCAGGCACCGACACACCACTCAACACATCGCTGCGAAGATATGGAATGGTCCCGTGCAAAATCAGCCTTTGAAGTGTCGGCGAGCTAGGGTCGGCGCCGCCTGTGAAGTCCCCAGAGGAAGGGTCATCCGAACCCTTCCAAGCAACGAGCCCCCGGATGGCTTGTGCCTTGTACCTCAATAACTCTCGCATTGTTGGAAGTATTGTGTCGGTCGGGTGATCAAAGCTCTGCCATATGTCGGCGGTGTTTGGCAACCGAAGGACAAAATTCCCCGAGTTGACTAGCAAAGCGTAAGCTCCGGCCCCTCCCGGGGCGATACTGCTTGTAGCCCTCCAAATATGGCGGCCTTTGGAGTCGGACAACACAAGATCAGAATTGGTGGTGATGGAGAGCATCGCAGATGAAGGGGTGTTGATTGGGTTGTCTCGGTTGGCTACCCACACGACGGTGCGTGGTCCAGGAATGCCGTGGTACCGTATGCCAAGGTAAAAGCTCTTGTTGGAGCTGGTTGTGGAGAAGAAGCCGAGAGCAAAGTTCCGGCTCTCTGAGATGAGTGTGTCGCCGTGGGTGAGTGGCTTTGCCCGTGTGAGCTGATCGTCTGATTTGCAGAACGAGCTCAAAAATTGGAGGAAGAAGATGGGAATATAGTGCAAAGCCATTGTGCTGTCTCCTTACACCTTTTTTTTGTGTCGAGCTAAGAAAATAGCACGCTGATATAGTTGAGGTTCCGCTGTAGCGAGTGGATAGGAATTTTCTGTCCGTCCAACTGAAACTCTTCTCTCATTAGTGAATGGGGAGAGTTTCAAAGTCTGAAATTAATGTCCCTGGAAACAAAGTCTTCTGAAATTAATAAGACCAGTGATGGATGGATAAAGACAATGAAGTTGACCTAGACAATAGCATGGAGAGGGATTGGCCAGACGACCGACACGGGTCTTTCACGGGCAAAGGAAAAATCATTACTGCTCGCGAGTCGGATGCCGTAGAGAATCTCGTACGCAGTCGATCTAGGGGCTTGACAGCCACGTCACAGAGGAGCCTGCTGGTGATATTTTTTTGTTTGAAATGGAGGAGGACCCCGGCTTCTGCATCTGCATCTGGACGATGCATGCAACCACTTTTATTAATTATTACACAAGACCTTACAAAGTTATACAAAAGTAAGACTAAAGCCACCGTCTAAGCAACATCTATCACTACTCCTATCCAGTTGATAAAAGGATGCTGATAGTCTGGGCCTAATACCAAAACAGACCTCGCAGTCAAACCTAACATCTAAGATCTGAGGTCCCAACCAGGACGCCTGCCAGGTATAGGGCACCCATCAGTCCGGCGCACTCCTCAACCTGGACGCCTGCCGGGTATGAGGCCGCCGCAGCCATCTGTCACCAATTCATCTTTAGTGCTATACTGTTGCACGTACCTTGCCCGTTCTAGCTGCCGTCGACGCCACCACGACGCCAGACAACGCCATCATCATGCGCTCATCCATCATCACACCACCGGCGAGATCCCGCTGCTCCATGCCGCTGAGACCCGCCGTTGTCGGCATCTCAGATACCACGCCGCTCCTCCTCTTGTCCCCTCCAGCCAACACTTGCTCCAAAATGATGCCCCAGGAGGAAGAACGACATCGAAACGTCGCCATCGTCCGATCCGGTAGATCTAGATCTAGGATTTTCTTCGGAACCTTCCGATCAGGTTGACATGACCTGCAACGACGATGCCTCGAGAAGGGAACGACGTCCGAGACACCGCCATCGTCCGCCATGACCACAGTCAGGCGCGATTTTCACCGGAAGCCACGGCGTCCCGATCTGGCGGTTGGTTGGAACGGAGCCCTCCGCTGAACCGGTGACGCCGCCGCCGATCCGGTCCCACCGCCGTGCGACGCCCCTGATGGAGATCCCGATCGAGATCGAAGACGACCCCGACCGAAACCCCGCCACCAGTGCCGCCGCACCGCGCCACCTCCTCCTAGCCTAGTCGCCGCCAGGCCCAGCCGTCCTCGCCTCCGGGAGACCAGCCGGACGAGGCGCCCCTTGTCCCCGAACAGACGACCCGCGCCGCCGCCACAAGGACTAGAGGAAGGAGGGAGTGCCCCGCCGCCGCCCGCGCCGCACGGGCTTCGCCCGGCGGGCGCACTCCGACGGCGGTGGCGGCGGCCGATCTAGATCTCTTGAGACGCGCGCGGGGGGCACGCCGCGGGAGCGGGGGAGGAGCGGGTTCTGTGTCCTGCTGGTGATATATATGATCGAAAACTCACTTGTGTGGCCATCGGCATCATCAAATGGACGACAATGCATTCCGAAATGTATTAATAAAGTATTAAAATGCAGGTACGTGCGGTACCGGCCTCTATGGCATGGGTAGTCTCACCGACACGATTGTAGTAGAGGAACGTGGTCGCTTCTCTTCCTAAACAAACACATTCAACGCATATGTGTTTCAAAGCTTTGCACTGACTACGCCTTCTCCTCTCCCCTTCACAGCCTGCACCGTGAAGTGGAGCAGTAAGGCTTCAGAACCTCGCCTCTTGCGATATGGGAGAGGGGTGATCGGGTTTTCAAAAGCGCTCTCCCGCTGCTGCTGGGCTCTTCTCCATCTTGGCTGAGCACGAGTACTTTTCCAACTACTCCCTCCATTTCAGATATAGTGTGCCTACGCTTTTTGAGATTTAACATTGACCATAAATTAGACCAATAATGCATAAATTATTTTTCTGAAAAATTATACCTTTGAAAACTTCTTTCGAATACAGATTCAAAGGTACCTGTCATGCTCCCGCTGCAGGTATCCATGTTGGTTAAATTTATGGACAAGGTTGAATCCCGAAAAGCACTGACGCACTACATTAATTATGAAATGAAGGGAGTACCATTTATCCCTGATGTTGACGACCTCCTCCACAACATGTCCGTCTTTGATGGCGGTGCGTTTCTTATCCCTTCTGATATGGATTGCTTCTAGACTTTCGGTACCAGCAATTGAACTAGACGTGACATTTTTATCATACATATCTGATTACTTGTCTAGTAATTTTGTGCGCTCAATCATCATGTTTATCATGATTTATCTATTGTTTTTTGTATTAATTTATAGTGTAAGATATTTCTCAAATATCCAAGAAAAAATTCAGAAACGTTTGAGTCTTTTTACTTATTTTTAATTTAAATGTTTAACCAGGTGTGTGTAAACCCAGGTTTCGAAAATCTTTTACTGGAATTTCTGAACATGGGTAAATGATAGATGTAGGTATGTGCATGTAAAATTAAAAACTTAAACATAACTCTTTTCGATCAGGGCAAAATGCCAAAGTAACTAATGAACGGTGTATCTTACAGCACGGATCTCATATAATCATGCTGAACTCTCAAAAATTATATGCATATACATGTATTCACCATCTATGTGCATGATTCTTTTCTGAAACTTAAAACGTGTATTTAGTTTGGGAAAAAAATCCCTACAGAGCTCGGGATGTACCCATGATCAGATGCACTGTAATTTGCTTTTGACATCTTCCAATTTGGACTATGTCGACCTAGCAATTGGCCTGCTAATTAATTAAGAGTTGAAGGCTCGGTTCATGAAACATTCAATAAAAATATTAATTGAGCATTGAAATTTCTGTGGAAAACTTGGTCCATTTTTTCATGACAAGCATGTCTCTAGAAATATCCAGGTTGGCCATGTCAGTGGATTATGTATATTAATGCTCCCATCCATTTCAGTAGTTATGTCTTTTATTCGTGATTTATCAAGTAATGGCATCATGTCATTCTTATCTTGACGGTTGACGCGGTACTCGTTTTGCCTATTGTTAAATTCTACGTTTTCCCGTGGCATGATCCCTAAGAAACCACCATAATTGCACCTTGTGCTAGTACTTCATTTCATTAGAGTCTCTTCTGTGAGGTGGTTCATCGTAGATTATAGGAAGTAGTTTGCATTGCTGCGGAAATTGGTTGCGGATATTTCTATGAGATTTGGCAGCATGGAAGTTTAGTATTTGGATTCACCATATAAATAATGAAACTAAGGACATATGATTTATTATATTTATTTATTATATCATTATAGAATAATTATTAAATATCAACACCATGATGGTGCATGTTAGAGTGGGCCCTTTTTCATATATGGTGGCATGGTGAGTGAGCATAGTTGCATACCATCCTCCGGTTCGGCCATGACAGAGTCTTCCTATACCTTCCTATACCACACGGAGCAGCACACCATGTTCTCTTACATGCGGGCCCATGAGTGATAAATATAGTCCCGATTCACCGGAATGCAACATTTCACGGGAGCTCAGTATCCGTAGAGATGTTCTATCATAATACATATTATGTACTTGCAAGAGATATCATATTTTCTCTCCTCTTGTTATGAATATATCGTGTGTTAGTTTTTGCAATCTCGTATAACATGAATTCTCATCGAGCTTTCAGCGAACTTAAATTCGTTAACATCTCCTCACATATTTCCGGCGTCTCATTGTCACGATTGATTGGCACAACAAACCTTTCGCATTGCTTCACTGCAAAATGATTAAAACTCTCGACTAACAATCCATTGGAAAATAGATGGGCGCAACAACGCTCGTCAACATGGTCTAGTGAGACTAAAGATTTGCATCACGTCTTACCACACTAGTAGAAAACGGAGCTTTAAAACCGGTTCGTAAGGGCCTTTAGTGCCGGTTCCATAACCGGCACTAAAGGGTGGGCACTAAAGCCCCCCCCCCCCTTTAGTATCGGTTCGGCACGAACCGGCACTAAAGTGCCACCATGTGGCGTGAGCTCGCGCCCTGGTATAGGGGACCTTTAGTACCGGTTGGTGTTACCAACCGGTACTAAAGGTTTTTTTTTTGAAAATTTTGGTGATTTAGTCTCTAATCACCTCTCTTAACTGCTCAAGTGTGGATCACTCATTCCAAATCGCCTAATTTCCCGGCCGCTCACCTATCCTCTCACTCCCCCAGCCTGAGCACGCTTAACTTCGGAGTTCTACTCCCCCTACATTCCAAGTCTGCACTTGTTGTTTTCCTGACAAATGTAAGATGTCAATCCTATTAACCCTCAGCAGTTTAGCTTGAGCATTAGGTCACACGTTTCACCGTTTGAGTTTGAAACTATTATTCTAAAAAACAGTAATTATTTAGTAACACTAATATTTCTTGAATAAGTTTGACCATAGTTTGACCACAATTTGACCATAGTTTGACCAGATTTGACCAAAATTCAAAAAATTGAAATAATTATTTAGTAACACTAATATTCTTGAATAATTATGTAGTAACATTAGTACTTCTTGAATAAGTAGTTTGACCAGATTTAACCAATTTTTTTAAAAAAAACTGAAATTTGACCATATCTTTTTTTCCTTTTGGAATTTGAGGATTCTAAAAAATTGCAAACAGGCCGTAGGCAGTCTCCATCGGATGCGGATTTTCGTGCTGAATTTTTTGATATATTATACTTTTTTTCCGACATCGTATGCAAAAGTCATAGCCGTTTTACATTTTCCCTACATTTTTTGCAAAACATGTCCAAATTTAAGTTTTCAAATTTTCCTAACTAGTAGATGTAGTAATATAACTACCTCTCGAAGGATTTTATTTTTTGAAGTTTTTATCATTTTCTTTTG